AAAAAAAAAATCAGTTAACTTTTTTTTTTTTTCCAGTGGCCCTAATCCTCTTCCGTACTTAAGTCTTGAGAAGTCCTGTCGCAATAATCAATTAATCGCACAAGAAAATTCTAATCACTTGATTAATAAAAAAAAAAGTGCAATAATTTGCGCGCTTGCTTGTTTCTCCTTGTGTTTTCATTTCCGTCACTGAGACGCTATAGCTTAAAGGTCACTATTATATCTATGGAATGATCATTATCTTGAACTGGTAAATGAAAAATACAATTTAAAAAAGCACACGCAAACATTTTTTCCAGTTAAATTTTGCATCTTTAGTTTTTTTTTTCTTTCAAAAACAACAATATTCTTACAGTATTTACCTGACATTTATGGTTACAACTTTTTCTAGTTTTAGCGGTAAATGTCTGCTCTTTTATTTTTAAGTGAAAATGAGGGCTGTGGGGAAAAAAAAAACAATCACAATCCTGCCTTTTATTAATACATATGAAGTTAGCAACTACAACTGATAAAGAAAAACCCTAAATAAATACCAGGACAATAACGATTCTTTCATAAAAGAAACATTGTGGCAATAACTTTTTGTAACTTAATGCCCTGGAACAGACAGAACCGACTTGGTGGGCAGTATTTTCAACATTATTCACAACATATTTCTCCTTTATGACTGCCATGGAGTTTTTAAAGCTGGGCTTGTTGATCAAAGACAAGGGGAGGTTGCATGAAATAATAAGGTCCTGAATTATAGCCACTGTGGCTGATAAAATTAGATGTGGTCAACCCAGCATCGCGTATTTTTTTTAAAAGAAGCTGCAGTTTGCTGCTCTTTTATTCCCGCCTTATGTAAAGTTTTTTTAGCCAAAGGTTATTATGAACGGTGGCACCGAAACAGGGGGGCTAATCATCGCCTCCATATCTGTATGGGTTGCATGAATGCATGCGTATGGCCGCGCGGGCATATATGTCACGTAGCGTTGCATCAGTGACGTCAGTGCTACGTGACAGTTTGACAGCCACTCTGCCGTTTTTTTTTTGTTTTTTTACCTCTGCTGTGTGCGGGTAAGGCGAGCGGCGATCAGTCAAGTTAGTAAAACAAAAAACA